AAGTGAGAATTAACAAAAGTAATAATAATATAAGTGTGGTAATGTATTGTGTGTGTGTGTGTGTGTGTGTTTTAAGAACTTAGTATATTAGTCCAGCCGGTGTGGCTCAGTGGTTGAGCATCGACCCTGCACCAAGAGGATGCATGTCCAGGTTGTGGGCCAGGTCCCCAGTGGGGGACATGCAGGAGGTGGCCAATCGATGTTCTCTCTCACCGATGTTTCTCTCTCTTTCCCTCTCACTTCCTCTCTCTCTAAACTCAATAAAGGGGGGAAAAACAACCTAGTATGTTAGAAAACAGAGTAAATAGACTCTGAAGCTGTTACAGATAAAATGTTACATTAAGGATCTACTTCCTGAGGCGGGTGGAACAGATGAAAGAAGACCAGCCCTGTATTAGCCACTACCGAAGAGAGTGCTGGGACACGGGGTTCATTTCCACATTGTCTCTATTTTTTAAAATTATGTTTCAGATTTTCCTGAATAAAAAAGCGCATGATTTTTAAATTTTAGAAGTTTGTTTTCCAAGTTGTGTTCCCCTGCTATCACATCTGGAAACCTAGTGACGTGGTGCTGAGATGCGAGGAAGGAATAGCACTCTTGAGTTCGACAGTCCAGTGATCAGGCCTCAGGTCTTTCGTGAGCCTGTGCCATGGCACTGTGATCTTCACAAGTGCGTCTCTGGTCATTTTCCCCTCTCTTCCTTATGTGAGACAGAAAAAGTAAGAGGAAACTGGAGTTGGCTATTTCCCTTCCTCCACTTAAAGTTTTAATGGAGCCCTACCTGGTTTTGCTCAGCGGTTAGAGCATCCGCCTGCGGTCCAGAGAGACCCGGGTTCAGTTCCCACTAAGGGCATATAACTCGGTTGCAGTTTGTCCCCGGCCCTGGTTGGGTCGTGTGGGTGGCAGCCACTCGATGTGTCCCTTGCACGTCGATGTTTCTCTGTCTCTCTCTCCCTCCCACTCTATCTGAACAAAATATAGAAAAATGTCCTTGGGTGAGTATAAAAAAATAAATAAATAAAAATTTTAATGGAAAACAAAATGTAACAAGCACTAATCTCTAAACTATTTAGACCTCAAGTTTTCCCATTTGTTACTATATATTTGCATATTTTATACTGGTAATCAAAGAATGCACTACATTCTGTTACATATAAATATTTCTTTGACACAGTCCATACACTTGTCATTTTAACGGCAGGCTCTCACAGAATACTTGTCATTCCCCAGCTCCTGGGCATTTGGGCTGTTCATTATTTTTCATTCGTATCTATAGTGACATAAGTATCTTTGTACCTAATATTTTTCCTTTTTATTTCCTTATCTGTGCTACAATCCACTACAGTTGGAGAAATGAGCAAAGAGTTTTAATGTTCAGGGATTGACAAACCTTTTCCATCAAGGGCCAGACAGTAAACACCTTAAGTTTTGTGGGCCATAGTGTCTCTGTTGCCACACAACTTCATCACTGTAGCTCAAAAGCAGCTATGCATGAACAAATAAGTTAACAAGTGTAGCTGTGTTTCAGTAAAACTTTATTGGTGCAAACAATTTTGAAAAAGAACAAAGTTGGAAGACTCACACTTCCTGATTTGAAAACTTACTACAAAACCACAGTAATCAAAACTGTATGGTGCTGGCATAATGACAGACATATAGACCAATGGAAAAGAATTGAAAGCCCAGAATTGAACTCTCACACATATGGTCAAATAATTTTCAACAAGAGTACCAATACCATTCAATAGGAAAAGAACAGTATTTTCAGCAAATGGTACCGAGAAAACTGGGTATCTATATGCTGAAGAATGTAATTGGACCCTTGCCCTACACCAATGAACTCAAAATGAATCAAAGACTTAAATATGAAACCTGAAACTCTCACAATAAAACATAGGGGAAAGCTTCTTGACACTGGATTTGGCAATGCTTTCTTATATATGACACCCAACAATAAAAAGAAAATAAAAAAGACAAACTTAATTTCATTAAAATTTTGTGCATCAAAAGATGCTATCAACAAAGTAAAAAAGGAACCCAGGGAAAAGAAGAAAATATTTGCAAATCATATATCTGATAAGGGATTAATATCTAGAATATATTTTAAAAACTCTTAAAACTCAACAACAACAAAAATAATGCAAAATGTGCAAAGGGCCCTGGCCAGTTTGGCTCAGCGGTTAGAGCAACGGCCTGCGGTCCAGAGAGACCCGGGTTTGGTTTCCGCTAAGGGCATGTACCTCCGTTGCAGTTTGTCCCTGACCCTGCCCTGGCTGGGTTGTGTGGGTGGCAGCCACTCGATGTGTCCCTTTCACATCGGTGTTTCTGTTTCTTTCTCTCTCTCTCTCTCTCTCCCACTCTCTCTGAACAAAATATGGGAAAATGTCCTCGGGTGAGGATAAAAAAAAAATGGGCAAAGGACATGCAAAGATGCTCAACACCATTAATCATTAGAAAAATGTAAATCAAAGCTATAAGAAATACCATCTCATACCCATTAGAATAGCCACTATTATAAAAAAAGTATTAAGAGGGAAAAAAGAGATAAAGTGTTAGCAAGGATGTGGAGAAACTGGAAACCTCATGCAGTTTGTGGGCATGTACAATAGTAGAGCTGCTGTGGAAAACAGTATGGCGTTTATTCAGAAAAATTAAACATAGAATTATCGTATGATCCAGGCATTTCACTTCTGGGAGTGTACGCAAAAGAACTAAAAGCAGGGTCTCAAATAAATATTAAAACGCCCATGTTCATGGCATTATTCACAACAGCTACAACATGAAAGCAACCCAGGGTCTATCAACAGATGAAAAAATTGGCAAAATATGATATATACATACAGTGAATTTTAGCCTATAAAAAAGTAAATTCTGACACATGCTACAACACAGATGAATCTTGAGGATATTATATTAAGTAAAAGAAGCCAGTCACAAAAAGACAAATACTATATAATTCCACATACGTATATGAAATGCTTCAACTAGATGAAGTCACAGAGTCAGAAAGTAGAATAGTGGTTCCCAAGGGCCAGGTGGAGGACAGATGGGGAGTGATGATTTAATGGGTGCAGAGTTTCAGTATGGGGTGATGAAAAGGTTCTGATGATGGACAGTGGTGATGGGTGCACACAGTGTGAATGTACTTAATGCCACTCAATTATACACTTAAAATTGGCTAAAATGGTAAGTTTTATGTTATATATATTTTAACACACACACAGAGAGTTGGCTTAGTCATTATGCTAAGTTAAAGAAGTCAGACACAAAAGGCCACACATATGATTGCAATTACAGAAATGCCCAGAACAGACAGAAATCAGGACAGTTATTGCGGGGTCTGGGGGCAAGAGTAATGAGGGTGACTGCTTATGGGTAACAGCGTTTCCTTTCGGGGTGACGAAAATGTTTTGAATTTAGTGGTAATAGTTGCACAAACTTATAAATAACAAAACCCACTGAATTGTACACTTTAAAGTGGTGAATTATATCAATAAGAAATATATATATTTTAAGTTGGCGTAGGGCTTCTGCTTCCAGCTAAGATGAAACAGTTTAAGGCAAATCAATGCTCACACCAAGAACAACTAGAAATATGTTACCAAATTAAAACAACAACAAAAACCTTTTGAAGACCCTGAAAACCCTGCTGAGACAACCGGAAGTTGAAGGGACAAGATTCCAGAGAAGGGGAAATCCGGAAGAGGTGAGCCAGCATCCTATAGCCATTTCCCACCCCACCCCCTTTCCATGGCTGGGTGCTAGGGCAAGAAGCTGAGAATCTAAGTCACCCAAACAGAGAACTGTTACTAAGAGACAAAGAAACCAGGAGAACTTTTGAAAATTTTGTGAAGCTAAAATTACAAAAATTGGAGAAATAAGAAGCCAAGATCCTGGTGAGTGGAAAAGGCAGAACTGAGCCAAAAACTCAGCTCATTTTCCATTCAAGTCATTTGTTTCTGACCATGAGAGGGTAACTGGTCCTGAACTAACCCTCTGAGGTGATTTTAAAAAGTCGTTGCAAATTCTTTGACTCTTCTAACAGGAGCTGAGGCCCATCCCCTCGAGTCTGGATGGATTCATGACTGATTAACCCAAAAGACTGAAACAGAAGTAACACTATGTGACCTCTGAAAATAGGTCATAAAAGTCGATGCAAAGTCTTCCTTGTGATCTGGGACACTGCATTTTGAATGCTCAGCCACCACATAAAAAGTCTGACTACTCTGAGGCTGCAAAGCTATATAGAGACCCGGGCCACCCGGAATGAGTGCATATGGTCAATCCAGAAGTCAGAGTCAGCTGAGTTCTCCACCAACAACCAGCATCAACTATCAGGCATGGGAGTCAATTTGGATGTCTAGTCTAGTCAAGCCTTTAGATAACTGCAACTGCTTTTTTTTTTTGGTACGTGCCCCTAGTGGGAACCGAACCCGGGACTCTCTGGTCCGCAGGCCGACGCTCCAAACGCTGAGCCAAACCGACCAGGGAAATAACTGCAACTGCATGAGAGACCCCAAGGGAAAGCTGCCCAGCCACTACCTTCCAAAATTCCTAACTCACAAAATCATGAGCAAAATACAACTGTTTAAGCTGGTAAGTTCTAGGGTAATTTGTTGTGCAGTAATAGAACTGGAGCCCTCTCCTTTGTAAGCAATAACAAAGTTGGACAAAATAACTGAGAAAAGCACTTTCAGACAGTGTTAAAAACAGGCAGTACAAAAATGCAAATGTTGAAAGAGGGGCAACTCATGAGATGAGCCCACTACCATGCACCCAGCACTCTGCCTCGGAGCAGTTTCCCACTGCAGCATGAACACCTGGGGTCCAAGCAAAGCACCACTAAGCTGAGGAGGCAGAGATCAAGGTTCAGGACAACTTAAGTGGCTGAAACTTTGGAGAGAAGGGAATTGTACAGGGGGGCACCCCCAGAAGTCTAAGTGAAAGATTCTATGAGCACAGACACAGCTATACACACACAGGGCGATATCACCCTAGGCTTACCAGGTATCAGCAGTTACTGGTGAGAACAGAATTGTGCAGTTTACAGTACTAGGGGGAAAGCAGGGCCAGGGAATTTGGGAGTTTCCAGACCTGCCAGAGTAGAAATATTTCTTTATCATCTTATTACTCCAATAAATTCAATTTAAAAAATCTTATTAGCACCCACACCATCCAGCAGAAGTAACAGAAAGGCTGTCCTCAAGAGTAAGAACCACACTCTAGAGCAGTGGTCCTCAACCTTCCTAATGCCGCCACCCTTTAATACAGCTCCTCCTGTTGTATGTGGGTGTATCTGCATGTCGGCGGACCCACCTGGAGACGGATAGAGGAGCGGTGTTTTCCAATGGTCATAGGCAACCCCTGTGAAAGGGTCGTTTGACCCCCAAAGGGGTCACAACCCACAGGTTGAGAACCACTGCTCTAGAGTAAGACCTCTCCTAGATGCTCCCTAACAAAGCACAAAACTAAGCACTGACAAGATCTGCAAGAGAGAATTTAGAGATTGAATGTTGCCAAATTAGATTTGGAAAACATCTTGGGCTTTTCAAAGATAGGCACTAAAAAAAAAAAAAGCATAAAACTGAGACCTTACAAGTTCAAGGTGATCAATCAGTTATTTTATTTTATTTTTTCTTTAATCCTCACCCGAGGACATTTTTCCATTTTTTGTACAGATAGAGTGGGAGGGAGAGAGAGGAAGAGAGAGACAGAGAAACATCGACGTAAAAGGGATACATCGAGTGGCTGCTACCCGCACGACCAACCAGGGCCGGGGACAAACTGCAATCGAGGTACGTGCCCTTAGCGGGAACCGAACCCGGGTCTCTCCGGACCGCAGGCCGATGCTCTAACCGCTGAGCCAAACTGGCCAGGGCGAGGTGATCAATCAGTTATTGAACTGTCTGCTAAAATTAGAACAAACAATCTTCGGGGGAAGATAACAGAATGCAGACTCTCTACAATGTATTATGGACAAAGACCATTATTTAATAAAAAAATCTCCAGGTAGATAAAGAAACAGGAAAATGTGATCTATGGTCAAGAAAAAATCAAGAGAAATCTAGATGGTCTAGATGTTAGTCTGTCAGCCAAGCCCTTCTTGGATAGCTTACCTACAGTAACCACAAGAAATAATAAAATAAATGTTATTGTTATACATCAGTAAGTTCGGGAGACTTATGACACAAAATAGTAATTAAAACAGAAACTGGGTACCTAGGGTGTGGCCACAATAAAAACAATTAAACCATGGCAATGTGTTTGGGATCAAGTGGTGAGTGGAAGCTGGAAAGGCCATGATAAGACTAGCAGAATTCCAGAAGCAACCCCACACCCAACCATCACCATACATTAAGAAAGGAAACCCTCACTTCCCACTGAGCAGAAGACAGGGCAAAAGCCAAGTCCTATCTGGGAACAGCTGTAGCTCACCAAGAGCAACACGCAACCCAAAGCACCTGGTGATTGTGGCACCTGGTGACCTTCGGCCAGCTTCCTACTGGGAGAGACCTTCCTTGCAAACTCTGCCAAAGGCCTCAGGTGACGAAAGGATGGCCACTCTGTCCTCAACAGCTCCACTCCCAAACTTACCTCCAAGGGTCTCTCATCTCTCTAGTAAAGATCTGTCAAAGGAAAGGGCTAGCGATCTGAATGGGAAAACAGAGGTAATGGAATGTTTTCTTGCTTATTTCCCAAAGTACAAGTAATCCAAACATGGGAGAAATAAAAATAAAATTAAAGACTCCCATAAATTATTCTTGGAAACTTCAGAATCACTGCCCACCCCCAATTGCATCCAGGAAATAAAGTGGTTCTGGATTCTTGCAGCAGCTTGATGTTATACAACCACAGAGGTGTCAGTCCTGGAGGTGGTTCAAGGGCATGTCAGTCATGCTGGGTTTCCTGCTCTTCTTAGGGACTCCAATTGGCAGTCTCTCAAGAAGGCTAGAAAGCAATCTCCTAGCATCTCCAGTGAGCCCGAGAGCTGAGAGTTAGAGGGGCAAACAGGACCTCTCGCCCCCGAAATGGAGATTTAAAAAAAAAAAATAATGAAGAAAATAAGCCTCTTTGCAGCCTTGGGGAATTTTGGCCCTGCTCTCCAGAGCTCAGGCAGGTAACTTCAAGTCACACCAATTCTCCCTCCTAGAAATTCATCTTAAATGGTGGCAGAGGCAAGAATAACATACAAAGTTTTCATAACAGGCAAACTCCACTAGGGTGTCCACAATAAGCAAAAAGAAACCAAGAGGGCAAAGAGAAACAAACACCTCATTCTACTTCTATTTGGGAGAGGACTGGATAGACTAAGGTGATAATTCTCCAAAATTTGTAACTGCTGCGTCTGTTAACCTGGGAGCAGAAGACAATAAAACTGGTCCAATGAATAAATAAAACATGCTAATAACCGCCCTAGCTGGTTTGGCTCAGCGGCTGGATCGTTGGCCTGTGGACCAGAGAGTCTGGGGTTCGGCCCCCGCTAGGGGCACGTACCAAAAACAAAAAACAAAACAAAAACATGCTAATAACTTGGGGGGAGTGGGGAGATCAACAGAACTCGGTTTACTTTCCCATTCTACTGATGAATAGTTGCTAGCACTGAGACTACAAACCACACAAAAATAAAACTACAAAGCTTCCCATAAGGATTCAGTAGTTGAGAAAGGGCTGTGAACAGAGACTGGTGTTTCAAATGCAGAGCATCATGCCCTGGCCAGTTTGGTTCAGTGGTTAGAGCATGAGTCCTGGGACTGAAGTGTTGCAGGTTTGATTCCCAGTCAAGGGCACATACCTGGATTTCGGGTTTGCTTCCTGGCCTTGGTCAAGGCATGTGTGGAAGGCAACCAGTCGATATATCTCTCTCACATTGATGTTTCTCTCTCCCCTCCCTCCTTCCCTTCAACTCTCTCTAAAAAAAATATCAATGAAAAAAAAATATCCTCAAGTGAGGATTAACAACAATAAAAAGAGGCAGAGCATCATACTCAGTAACAGACATCACACTGGGAAATGAGAGAATACTGCAGTACATACTTTCTTCCTCAAAATGCATTCACGTATAACTGAGACATTTAAACGATCCCTTCAGACGCTGAGTGATGTCAAGAATTTCTGATCTGAAAGCAGAGAACAGGATAGGTTGAGGAGCAGATATTGTGAAGGCAGGGCTCAGTTACCAGTTCCCACATCCCAGCCTAAAGAGAGCATCATTTCATCTATCAACTAAATTGAAAAATCATTTTTAAAAAAGAGCATCATTTAAAGTCACGCCTTGGCAAAACAATAAACTATTGTATGCCGCAGACCTTCTGAACTGTCTCATCAGTTGAAACCTTAAAATGCTAACTCTGAATGCATAAAGCTGGAGTGTAAACTCTGTCAGAGAAAGAGGTAAAGCCCTTCTGACTGGCCATATTAAAAATAAAAAAAACACCCTCCTTGGGGCCACAGAGAATTCAAAGGAATTAAGTATGTATCTGGGAGTACCCTGAGCTTGGCCTCCTGACTGGTGAAAAGAAAGGAACAATTAAAAGAGGAGTGGCTAGCCCTGGCCAGTTTGGCTCAGCGGTTAGAGCGTCGGCCTGTGGTCCGGAGAGACCCGGGTTCGGTTCCCGCTAAGGGCACGTACCTCGGTTGCAGTTTGTCCCCGGCCCTGGTTGGTCGTGCGGATGGCAGCCACTTGATGTGTCCCTTCACATCGATGTTTCTCTCTCTCTCTCCCTCCCACTCTATCTGTACAAAAAAAAAAAAAAATGGAAAAATGTCCTCGGGTGAGGATAAAAAAAAAAAAAGAGGAGTGGCTAGAACATAAGTCACATGGATGGAAAAGGGACTCTAATAAATCTGTAACTCACAGGGTGATCTGATCATAAATTTCTAACTGGGGGGGGGGGGGGATAGTCATGCCCCAGGCCTATGAAAGATGTATCTGTGCCTTAAGCAAGCCCTATCTACCCTGTTCCTGTGTATGGAGGTAACATACCTTTGTAACTACAGTGATACCTCGGTTCTCGAACATAATTCGTTCCAGGAGGACGGTCGAGAACCAAATTGTTCGAGAACCGAAGCAATGAAACCCAATAGGAAATAATGGAAACTGGATTAATTCGTTCCAAGCCCCAGAAAATGCCTATTTACTGGCCTAATTTGTATATAATATGTAGAAAAACATAAGTCTCAACAAGAAATAAAAGTGTACAGTATGTCTAAGGGTTAAATTCAGTGTAAAGCGTGACTCTCTCCACAAAGCGTGACTCTCTCTCTGCACTCACACTGATGACGCGAGCAAGGCGCGCTGGGCCGAATGAACGCCATTCGGCTCAACTCGGCTCATCTCGGAAGTTCGAGTTCCAAATATTTGTTCGGATTCCAAGACAAAAGTTTCTCGAATCTCCTGGTCGAATACCGATTTGGTCGAGAACCGAGGTATCACTGTATCTGTATTCCAGAGATTTCCCTGCCTTGCTTTTCCCCCACCTCCTTGTAATGTTCCTTATATTCCCTCCCTAATTCCAAATCTATAAAAGAAACTGCAGAACTGTCATCCACTGGAGCATTTAAGACTTTACTTCCTGGCATGTTGTCAGTTTGGCTCAAATTAACTCTGGTAAACTCATAAAATTTTCCTACAGGTGTGGGTGTTTCTTACGTTGACAGCACTGAGACAGGTTAGTAAACTAGGACAAACAGAATAGGGAAACTGAGACAGATAGTTAAAAGGCTAAATCTGGCCAGTGTGGCTCAATGGTTGAGCATCGATCCAGACACCAAGAGGTCACCGGTTCGATTCCTAGTCAGGACACACGCCCAGGTTGTGGTCCCAGTCCCCAGTGGGGGGCATGCAGGAGGCGGTCAATCGATGTTCTCTCTCATCGATGTTTCTCTCTCTAAAATCAATAAAGAAAATAAATAAATAAATGGCCAAGCATTTTACAGCCATCTAGTAAATTGCAGAATCCTATCTTCCCTGACCAAGGACACTTAAATGTTCACACTTCTCCTCCCCAACCAGAGGGCAAATAGCTTAAATCACCCTCCTCAGGGAGATCAACAGCAAAAATCCAATTAGTGCCATTTATTCCAACCACACCTAAGGACAGAGGAAGTTAAGGGAATAAATCTCATTTTGGCACATCAGCATAGAGCTGCTGGATATTCCCCCAATATCCTCCCCAAAGAACTCCCCTGATCTCCCAGGCTTTCAAAGCCTCAAGACACGCCCGGCTGCTGTGGTTCAGTAGTTGAGCATCGACCCATGCACTAAGAGGTCGCCAGTTCAATTCCAGGTCAGGGCACATGCCCAGGTTGTAGGCCTGATCCCCAGTGGAAAGCATGTAGGAGGCGGCCAATTGATGTTCTCTCTCATTGATGTTTCTCTCTCTCTCTCCCTCTCCCTTCCTCTCTCTCCAAAATCAATAAAGAAAAAAACTTAAAATAAATAAATAAATAAATAAATAAATAAATAAATAAATAAATGCATGCCTGCCTCAAGACAGGCCCTGGCCAAGTAGCTCAGTTGTTTAGAGTGTCATCTCAATATGCGAAGGTTGCGGGTTTGACCTCCAGTCAGGACAATTAAAAGAACAAGAATTTTAGACTTTATCCTAAGAATCAACTAATGAGTACATACAAGAATCAACCAATGAATGCATAAATAAGTGGAACAACAAATTAATGTTTTGCTCTGTCTTTTCTTCTCTAAAATCAATCAATAAAATAATAAAATAAAACCCTCAAGATGAAGGACCAAGTGCACACTCTCCTTCCCAGGAGCATGGCTGCACCTTTCCCTTCCCTTTCTTCCCCACCCCCGCCATGCAGCTCCTAGACTCAAAGGGACTCCATGAGACTCACAACCATGAGAGCAATGGAGAGCGGCAGCTCATCCCAGGCTAACCCCATGAACCTGTCTCCAAGGCTCCCTTTCCTCTGATTTTCCAATGAGATGACAGCAGCCCCACTTGAGCGCTCTCCCGGTGCTTCTTCTGTCCTAAGCCTTCCTTGTTTCACTGTCCTAGAGTATGTAATAAACATGCTCTCAAAATCACCTGGACTCGTCTTGTGGCATCCTTCCTGCACAAAGTTAAGAACCCACACTGCAGACTGGCCGGAGGCAGAGCCGCTCTGGGTGCAGTCCCCATTCTGGTAACGGTACTACAGCCTCTAAGCTGGAGGAGCAGCCAGCAGTGGCCGCCCAGGACTCTGCATTCCACAGTGTAGTGATTCTGTAGACCCCTACCATACTAGGCCAACATCAAGGGAAAAAACCTCCTTGCCTCTCTCCTCTCCTCAGGTTCAATCACGAATTCTGTGGCTAAAGGAGGTACCTGAATATCCCACTTTGCTTCTCTCCAAACCACTCTATTACCTGGTCTGGATTCCTGCGCCAGCCTCCACCCTGCCTCCTTATCTCTCCCCGTCCAATCCACACTGCAGAGAGTGAGTTTTCTGAATCTGATCATGTCACAATCTCCACCCGCCCAGGTTCTTTTAAGACACTAAAACTGTCCCTTCTGCCTTTAGGATAAAATCTAAAATGCTTACAGCCTTTTCTGACTGCCAGCCTCCAGCCTTCTCTGTCCACCAAGTTCCTTCCTCCAACCACCTCCAACCACCACCCTCTCTGCTCCATCTCTCTAGCCTCAAAAGCACAGTGCTCTCAAAGGTCTCTCGGCCTTTGCTGATGTTGTGTTCCTCTTCCTCCATCTCTTCTTCTAACAGTTATGTGTTGGGTTCTAATGGCTTAGATGCTAACTCATACTCTCTTTCAGGTCTCTGCTTGAAGGTTAGCCTCCAGAAATCCTCTCCTAGATTTTCTCCTTTTTATTCCGGCATGTGCAAGCTTCAGAGCCTGTCAATATAGCTGCGGAGAGCAAGTTGACTGCTGCTGCCCTCTCTCTCTCGGTATGCTCTTTGGGGAACGTCCTTCAGAGCTGGCACACCTGGCTTCTGTATTCTAAATTGGACCAAAGACCAATTCTTGTTCTTTTAATTGTCCTGACTGGGGATCAAACTCGCAACCTTGGCATATTCGGATGACATTCTAACTAACCGAGCTACTTGGACTTAAAAAATTCAGAAGATGATTCAGAAAATACTTAAAGGCCCTGGCCAAATTGGCTCAGCGGTTACAGCGCTGGCCTGTGGTCCAGAGAGACCCGGGTTCGGTTCCCGCTAAGGGCACGTATCTCGGTTGCATTTTGTCCCCGGCCCTCGTTGGGTCGTGTGGGTGGCAACCACTTGATGTGTCTCTTTCACGTCGATGCTTCTCTCTCTCTCTCTCTCTCCCCCTCCTATTCTATCTAAATAAAATATGGAAAAATGTCCTCAGGTGAGGATTAAAAAAAAAGTTTAATTAAAAAAAAAAAAAAAGAAAATACTTAAAGATTTTCCCTTCAGGAGGGTCGCTGGGTAACTCTGAAGTCAGGGCAAGCACAGTAACTGGTGAATAGCTGCAGCCCCAGCACCAGGTCTTCAGTGAGCCCTGCTGGATATGGATCCCACACCATCCCCAGCCATGCCCAAGGCCATCCAACAACTGTTCTCACTAACTCTGTTCCCAGAAGTACTGGGATCTAGTCCACCAGCACTGCTTGTTATTTACTGGTACTATAAATATTAACTCATTCAGCCCTCAAAACAGCCCTATTAAGTAGATGACACTATGATTATTCCCATTTTACAGATGAGGAAACTTGCCTCACAAAGCTATAAGAAGTAAAGCCAGGATTCGAACACTGAACCACGTGGTTGATCTGGCTCCACACTGCACAGTCAGTCACTCCTCTGTCCCCATTTCCCAGAAAGCCACATGGAAAAAAATAAAGTTGAGAGACAGAACTACATATGTACTCTGCTTTGGCTGACAACAAAAAGACACAGCAAACATTCAATGCAAGGTGCTGGATCAATCAGAAAATCGTATTGGGGGAAAAGGGGATGAAACTTGACCCCTACCTCAAACCATATAAAAATCCGTTCCAGAGGAATCATAGATCTAAGTGAAGATAAAACATTAAAGCTTCTAGAAGAGCCCTGGCCAGTTTGGCTCAGCAGTTAGAGTGTCAGCCCACAGACCAGAGAGTCCCGGGTTCGGTTCCCGCTGGGGGCACGTACCTCGGTTGCAGTTTGTCCCCGGCCCAGGTTGGGGTCGTGTGGGTGGCAACCACTCGATGTGTCTCTCTCACATCAATGTTTCTCTCTCTCTCTTTCTCCCTCTCTCCCTCCAGCTCTATCTGGAGAAAAATGCAAAAATGTCCTCCAGTGAGGGTAAAAAAAAAGAAAAAGCTTCTAGAAGATAACAGAAAAACAGCTTCATAACCTTGGGAGAGACAAAGATTTCTTAAAGAAGGCATAGAAAGCTTCAAATGAAAAGGAGAAAATAATAAATTTGATTTCATTAAAATCTGTTAATCAAAAATAAAAATTTTAAAAGATCATAAAACTGCAAAACAAGCAAATAAAAAGAAACCTAACCCACAATTAAGAGGGTGAAAAATTGCCTGGCCGGTGTGGCTCAGTGGTTGAGCGTGCACCAAGACATCACCAGTTCAATTCCTGGTCAGGGCACATGCCCAGGTTGTGGACCCAATCCCCAGTGGGGGACACGTGGGAGGTGGCCAATCGATGTTTCTCTCTCTCTCTCCCTCTTCCTTCCTCTCTCTCCAAAAGCAATAAATAAATGGGGAAAAAAAGAGGGTGAAAAATCAAACAATAGAGAAGGGAAAGACATACATGTGTGTGTCTAACAAAAGACTCATATTCAGATACAAACAATTACTACATAAGTCAATAAGAGATGGGTGGAAAAAAAGAAAAAAGGTAAAAAAAATGTGTTCAGGCACTTCACAAAAGTATAAATGGTAATAAAAGGATATGGAAAAGGGCTCAACATCTTACGTAATCAGAGAAATGCAAATTGAACCCACAACCAGAAGCTCCCCTCTCCATGGATCATTGGCTCATTGGGAAGGAGTGTCAAAGTTCCTAAAAAGTCACTCTGAATAACTGAGTCAACATATGACATACTTTTCTAATGCAGATTTATAAAACAATCTCTATCTCCAGCAGATTTCTGCCCTTTGTGTCTCTAAGCCTGGCACACAGAAAGGAAGGGCAGAAACTGGTATCAAAATTGGCATGACTTAATTTCTAACAAGAGATCACCCTAAACTCTGACTCAGGCTATTCTGAAAAATCAGCCCAGTACTCACAGTGAGTCTGAAATGGTACCTGTTAGAGCCCAAGCAGATAAACCCAGGGCTCCAGGTACATCTCTAACCACCACATCTTAGGGCCCTCCCTGTCTCACCCCAGACAACTCTGCCACTTGCTTCTACACTCCAGCTGTCACAGCTTCTACCTATCTGATTCTTAAACAAGCAAACTTGTTTCCGCCCCAAGGCCTTTGCCCTGGCCCTCTGCCTAGAACATTTTACTCTTGATTCTTTATATTGCAAGCAAAGAGGACAAGTAGAATGGGGTAAGAGAAAAAGCAAAAAGCAAACTTCCTGTAGGAGAGTCAGAGACCTAGGGGTTGAGAAAGAGACCCGCTTTCCTTACCTAGTAGGCCAAGGTGGAGGGGGTCAGCCTGAGACCAAATCTGACGTCAAGGAGGCTTGCTTTCTTTCCTTCCTTTCTTTTTTTTGTAAATATGTTTTTATTGATTTTAGAGAGAGAGGAAGGGAGAGGGAGATAGAAACATTGATGAGAAATATCGATCCTCGCCCCCTACTGGGGGTCGAGCCTGCAACCCAGGCATGTGCCCTGATCTGGAATTGAACCTGTGACCTCTTGGTGCACAGAACGATGCTCAACCAAATGAACCAGACTGGTGAGGCATCAAGGAGGTTTTCTGTCAACAAGATGGCTGTAAAACAGGTTTCAGAAGGGACTAAGCATGCCATATATCTACCTATAATTCCAGGATCCTGATATGCTGATATACCATATAAAATAGACAAAAACAACATGAAAAATAGGCCTATGTGTTCTAAAAAAAAAAAAAAAAAGTGTGCCCATCAAGCCAATCTGTGTCCAGATCTTGATTAAGTAACTTAAACCAGGACTTCTCAGACTTTCCCACTGAGGGGTCCTACATACTTAGTAAGATTTTTTTTTAATCCTCACCTGAGGACATTTTTCCATTTTTTATTCAGATAGAGTAGGAGGGAGGGAGGGAGAGAGAGAGAGCACACACGCATGCGACATCGACGTGAAAGGGACACATCGAGTGGCTGCCACCCGCACAATCCAACTAGGGCCAGGGACAAACTGCAACCGAAATACATGCCCTTAGTGGGAACCGAACCCGGGTCTCTCTGGGCCGCAGGCTGACACTCTAACCTCTGAGCCAAACTGGCCAGGGCCTCAGTAAGATCTTGAACCTGAAGCTGCGCTAGAAGAAAATACTGAGCCAGAATAGCCATTGTATATGCAAAACAAATCCCAGAGGCACCAGGTTTGAACCTCTGCCTCTAATGGTAGACCCCAAAGGTGCTGACACCCAACTTTGCCCATTTCAAAAGAATAAAGCCCAGCACAGACATCGAGAGAGAAAAAACAACAGGGGAGTGAAAACCAAAGCCACCAAAATCACATCATGCCATGGGCCCCCTAACATGTTATAAAAAGAAAGCACTATCTTCATCCCACTTTTTTAAAAGACAAAATCGTCGTGCTGTTCCCCAACAGCCAAAGCCTCCCTATTCTTTCACTGCCAGTACTCAGACTAATGTCCTATCAGTCAACATTCAAAGGTCAAGGGGGAGCCCTGGCCGGTTTGGCTCAGCGGTTAGAGTGTCTGCGTGTGGTCCAGAGAGACCCGGGTTCAGTTCCCGCTAAGGGCATGTACCTCGGTTGCAGTTTGTCCCCGGCCCTGGTTGGGTCGTGAGGGTGGCAACCACTCGATATGTCCCTTTCACGTTGATATTTCTCTCTCTCTCTCTCCCTCCCTCCCACTCTATCTGAACAAAAAATGGAAAAATGTCCTCGGGTGAGGATAAAAAAAATTTTTTTTCAAAGGTCAAGGGGGAGACAACACCCCAATTGAATGTAGCAAGATTAAAAGTATCTTTAACTCCTCTATGCACTCCCTGTCCTAGTCTTCCCACCTTGGTAAATGTTTCATCATCCTCCCAGGCTTTACACCTATTCCATCTTCAACCTGTCCCACATATCCAATAAGTCACCAAATCCTATAAAGATAATTAAGTATGAGAAAGTGTCAAAATGCTTGCGAAGGGACAGAGCTAGTACTTAGAGGGAAACTTACAATTTTTTGTGGGTTAAAAAAATTTTTTTATTTATTGATTTTTAGAGAGAGAAGGGAGAGGGGGAGAGAGAGAGAGAAACATTGATGAGAGAGAACATCGACTGGCCGCCTCCTACATGCCCCACACTGGGGATCAGGCCCACAACCTGGGCATGTGCTCTTACCAAGAATCGAACCGGCGACCTCTCGATGCATGGGGTTGATGCTCAACCACTGAGCCACACCGGCCGGGTGAAATTTATAGTTTTAAATGCTTATATTGGGGGGGGGGGGGGCTAAAATTAGCTAAGCACATTCTTAACACATTGACCGCTCACGAGTTAACTCAGGTTTGCACCTGCATTAGCTATTTCAGTTTTTGAAACTCAGGGTAATATAGGATTATTGTATTTGTGACTCTTCACCCTGAGAGTAGAAGTTCGAAAAACAGCACACGGTTCTATATTCTTGAAGTAGCTAGGGAGTGAGTATCTGCTGGTTCAAATGAGTGCAGCTCAGAACCTAACGTGTAGTTTGCCCAAAAACATGTGGTCCCTGGCATATGTCTTAGAGATTTCTATGCAGTACGCAATGTGTTAAGAAGTTTGAAAGATTTGCAAAATAAACCCAAAACTAGAAAGAGGAACACTGTAAAGTAGACATTATGAAGAAAACAAACATAGTAGAGGGGATCATCAAAGCCAAAGAACAGTTCTTGGAAAAAGTTAATAAGATTGTTCAGATGTTTCTATAAACTAAGACGAAGCAATATAAAAGTGAGCTATTGTTATCCAATAGAGGGAATGTCAAATAAAAAGTGCTGAAGTACTAGTTTCCTTTTTGAAAGGGTTTCTCAAGCTCAGCACTATTGACATTTTGTGCTGGATAACTGTACATAGGAGGAGGTTTTCCTATGCAATGCAGGATGTTTAGCAGCATCCTTTATCTCTACCCACAAGGTGCCAGGAGCATCACTCCCTCACAGCCTAGGAGTCAAGACAACCAAAAATGTCTTCAGACATTGTAAATTGTCCCCCAGGAGGCAAAATCATCCCAGATTAAGAACCACTGCTCTGCCCTGGCCAGTCTGGCTTAGTGGTTAAAGTGTCAGCCCGCAGACCGGAGAGTCTCGGGTTCAATTCCCAGTCAAGGGCATGTGCCACGGTTGTGGGTTTGATCCCTGGCCCGGGTTAGTGTCACGTGGGAAGCAACCAGTCAATGTGTCTCGCTCACATTGATGTTCTTCTCTTTCTCTCTCTCTCTCTCTCTCTCTCTCTCTCTCTCTCTCTCTCCCCCTCCCTCCCTCTCCCTCTCCCTCTCCCTCCCTATCTAAAACAAAAATCAATGGAAAAAAATCCTCAGGTAAGGATTTAAAAAAAAGAACCACTGCTCTAAGAAGACAAAGGGCCACTTCACACTATACTAATTAAGACTAGATTATTCATAGCTATTCTTAATTAAAGAGTAGCTGGCTGCTCTGCCTGTTAGGGTTGTGGGATGACCAGCAAGCCGAGGAAGCAAGGGCAAGATGGAAGAACTAGACAGGTCTCAGACGTTTCAGCAAAACTGCATAGAGCGCTCAAGATGAGAGGGCAAGAAGTACCACTTTAGCCCTGGCCGGTTTGGCTCAGCGGTTAGAGCGTTGGCCTGCGGTCCGGAGAGACCCGGGTTCGGTTCCCGCTAAGGGCACGTACCTTGGTTGCAGTTTGTCCCCGGCCCTGGTTGGGTCGTGTGGGTGGCAACCACTCGATGTGTCGCTTTCACGTCGATGTTTCTCTCTCTCTCTCTCTCCCTCTCACTCTATCTGAACAAAATATCGAAAAATGTCCTCGGGTGAGGAAAAAAAAAAAACAAACAAAAAAAAAACAAAAGTAGTACCACTTTACTGGGGACTGGGGGAGTGCACAGCTCTAACACTAGTGAACATAAAAATGGTCCTTGACTCAAACTCCAAGAAGTTAGATACGCCAGCAGAGCAAGAGAAGGAAACATACCTATAAAACATTTTTCTTATCACTCTGAACTTCACATAAATCACTGCAAATGTTAAAAAAAATTTTACCTGAGAATTATATAAATATTCTTTTAAAAACATTCTAATTGCACAACTGCACTATTCTGAGACAAATCACAATTAAATTCTTGTCACTTCTAAATAAATAATAGTCAAGTCTTTGAAAGTATGTAATTTTTGAATAATTAAGAATCTGACAAGGATAAAAGGATTGCAAAAAAACAAGAGAGAAGATAATATATATCTCCATATACTCACCAACAGCACCTAAAACTCAACCCAAACCTGACAAGAGGTCTAGGGACATCTGAAAATATCATTCTGAGAACCCAAATGATAAAAAGCAAAAAGTGATAAAAGTGATGCAGATACCTGGGAACTCTAACACCATCTTAGGATTTATGAGAGCCAAGCAAGACAGTATATTAGTGCACCCTCACATCACTGTCTTCCACTATTTCTACTCATTCGACTTATGGGAAGAAGTACAGGAGCAGCTGGGGGCAGGGGGTGGGGAACGCCAACTCGATAAGCTAGTGGTGGACAGCAAATGATGCTGTCAGGGGGAAAACGAGAAACAGTCCATGCCAGAGGTGAAGTGGAAATAGGGCAGAGACTTCTAAACAGCCCGAATGAGGGGAAACTGATCCCTGAGCCATATGGCAGCTGTCGGGAGGAATGAGAACTGAAGACAGGAACATCGGTGAACAAAGAGAACATGAAGAGTGGCAGGAGCACATTGTCCTAGGCTCCTTCAGAGCCAAGCAATGACAATCCGATGCAATGTGTCATTCCACCAGGGTGGTCTGTTAGAAATAGACAAAAACTTCATTCCTCAGTCAATAAGAAGCTTACAGACAATTAAACCCCATGCCACGAAAGGCTAGAATGGAGAAGTCCTATGCCTGGCCAGATGCCCTCACATTAGACTGGAGACAAAAAGGAAGTCCAATGCCACTTCAACTAGCTGGGGGCAAAGGAAGAGACAGGCCGAGCAAACGGAGGAGTCCAGAGGGGCCTAGCAGCTGCGGAGCAATTCAGTCCCGGGGAGTGGCTGGGGGCAGAGCAGCACTGCAGGAGATGCTGTAAGCTTGCAAAGTTGGGAATCTCTCCCCAGGGAATCCCCTCATGTCCACACAAGCAGAATTCCGAGTGTAATTTCAGGAAACTCACAGAGCGCTCACTGTTACCCCGTGTCTATCTGTGGCCACCTCATAGGTCCATGGCTCCGGACCACAAAGTGCAGTCACAGACTCTGCCACTAATTCCTCCATGACTCGGGTAAGTATGCTCCACTCACAAATCTTTGGGCCTGGCAAAGACGAGCTAAATAAATGCTAAAGGTCCTTCCAGCACATAAGCAAGGCTTGTATAGAACAATCCATTTCTTGGGAAGGACATGAGTTCACCGTTGCTGTGTTTCCAGTCTCTGTCTTCTCATGATGGATGACCTAAAAAATCCAACTGGAAACAGCACGCTCAGCCAGCAAAAATTCCATTAGAAGAAAAGATAAGGCCACCTCTGTCACTCACTAGAGCCACTCACCATCCAGCAGATCTTCCTCATCATCCCTGCTGTGCTCCTCCACTGCCACCTCCTCCTCCTCCTCCTCCTCTTCCGCATCCTCCAGCTCCACGTCCGGGTCCAGGTCTGGATCGCTCCCTGAGGTGGATTCGTCTGACATGGCTCCCAGAGGTCCTCAGTGGGCATTACCGACTCATGGTCCACTGCAGAGGTCCTGGGAAGAGGACCAGAGGCATCAAGATCACCAAGGGCTTCACTTAGGAGCATGAATCTTTCAAAGACAAAATGCCATGAGTGAATTCCCTGGAGTTTTTCTAAGCAGGGCAAGCTAAACACACCCAAATTTCAACCTTCCCAACTGCAATGACCCTGAGCTTGTTTTGGTGACTCTCTGCCCACCTCAGAATTCCCATTTGTTCATTCCTTCACACATCAACTGTTCCTGAGCACCAACTCACTCTCTCTCTCTCTCTCCCTCTCTCTACCCATCCACCCACCCACCCACACGTACATACTTACATACATACACATATGGCTATACAATCACGGGCACTATGCTATGCTTTGCGGACACAGCACAAAGCAGAAGAATGCTGGGGAGTACTAGAGAATGGTGTGTCCCAGAGGACCTGCTATTTTATATGGGGTAGGGAGAGGGGCAGGGGAGTCACCTCTGAACAGAGGTCAGAAGGAAGAGGGAGCCAGCCACAGAGCCACCTGGAGGAAGAGTGTGCCAGGCAGACTGGGCAGCAAGGGCAGAGTCCTGGAGTGGGAGTAACTGGGAGTGCTCAGGAAACAGGCAGTGGGTCCTGCCTAGAACAGGCGAGGGCCCTGCCTTGGAGCACGAAGAAGACAGCTCACTCTCCAATCGCCTGAATGAAGGGCTTCCAGTGGGCACCTGGCTACTCACCATACTGTCACTCCCCGAAGTATGTGGGAGCCTCAGGCTGCCCATGGCTCAGAATGCCCCGTGCCCATCTCTGCTCTCAGGCTATGGTCTACCTCTTGGTCCAGTTCCAGCTCCATTTCTCTCAAAAAGCCTCTGTCAACTGTCCTGTACTTCTGGGAGCATAGTCCCTCTTCTGAACTCCACCAGCCATATTGACCATGCTGACCTTCACTGAAGGCTTCATATAGGCTGCCTGGCAAAGTGGTTTGCCTTTTTCTTCTAAGGGCGAGGATTTAGCTGGGAATTGTTTCTTTGTATCCTAGAGCTAGAAGCATGTTGTACTCAGCTCATTCATTCACTCACATCCATTTGCTCATCTGCCAGCCTGCTCTGTTATGTCTGTATGTGCAGGCACTGTGCACGTCTTTCTGTCGGTTTCTCTCTCCGCTTTACTATTAGCCAAAAAGGTCATTTCCTCTTGAGGGGAAAAAAACAAGGTAAAGAGAAAGCTAGGTGGACTGCT